ATTAAAGAGGGCACGTACTGAATGGAGCACTGGGTGTTATATGCAAACAGTGAATCATGGAACACTACATCAAAAACTAATGATGTATGGTGATTAACATAATATAATAAAAAAAATTCTAAAACAATGTTAAAATCATTGTTAATTTTGCTGTCTCTAAAGCATTTATTAATCGACATGTTTCACCGTATTTAATATTTCCACATTAGGAAAGGAATATGATAGAACTGGATAAGTAAGCTATTATACAATGTAAGCATAAAGACTATCCCTATTAAAAACTTTTAATCATGTATTCTTTACATTTATCTAGAATAAGAAAATTGCTTCTAGCAAGCCATTCCTTCCAAAGGCAAAATCTGAACATACCGGACCTTCTATACAGGGACCTATGTTTATACACTGTATTTTGACATTTGGTATTTGTAGGACACCATCTATCACACAAGGAATATTTATCTACAGTGTGTTTCAACCAAGGGAAAACAAATCAGTTAATATTTTCACAGATTACATATTCTGTGAGGATTCAAGGAATTAGTTAACTAATAAAAATTAGTTAAGAGTATTTTTTGTAAATGCCTCTTTTATTTTGGAGGCATTGTCTGACTACAGGTACATTTATGAGGTGCAACATAAATTAAGAGCCTTTTAGTTCCTTTAAGAAATGACAAAGAAACAAGAAATCACAAGCATTCTGTGAATATGTTTTTTCATTAAAGACCATCAAAATACAACTGATTAATTTTCTGCAAAATTTAAATAAAGCAGATCTCTTTCTGAAATCAAAAGAAAAAGATTAGGCAAAAGAGTTTTCCTAAAGTATATAAACTGAATTTGTAAAAAGAGACAGATTTTGACACCCATAAAAGGATCACTCTTATAAAAGAGGCTGGCTATTACTTTTAAGCAAGGAAGGAAAGATGCTATTCTTTAATTTAATGATTTTATAAATGATTTTTTAATACGTTCTTTTTTAAGACAACTAAATAAAAGACAGACTCATTTGTTCCTAAGAGACACTTACATGAAGTTGCAAGATGCTGAAATTTGACTTCACAGGACAAAGCTCCCATGTCTCATTCTCTAGAAACATTCTCAGTTCATCAAGCCGTGTTCTTAAAAAAAGAAGACAAACACTCCAGAAAGTTAGAGGAAAAGTACACTGCACATAAGAATTAAGAAAATAAAATAGAATTATAGAATTATCATCATAATCATAATCAACTTGGAGAATCTATTCAAAGCAACACAGCAAACACAAACAGGTACTTTTACTTGTTAATATTTTATCATCTTTAAGAGAAAAAACTCTCAAATGTTTACTAAACTCACAATATCTCTACTATATTACAAAAATAATGAATGTACAGGAAATGATATTTTTATTAAGGGATGAAACTAAAAGCTACTCCCCAACTCACATACTTAAAATATCCCTAGCTAATCATATATCAATGCCAAAAAACAGAGAAATAATTTACAAAGTTTATGAGATCATTAATACTAATAAATGCTTTATGCTAAATAGCAAAGATCTTAATCATACTTACTAAGCCACAAGATCAAGATAATTATCACTCTCCAAATATATTTAGCTCAGGGCCTCTCTCTACACAGCACTTACAAATTAAATTACCAAGTACGGCACTTACAGAGCCAGCACTGCACTAATCACTTACATCACATTGATCTCTTCTTTCCTTTCTGATGCTATTGTGGTTTACTGTCTCTCCTGAATAATCAGTACATTATACAGGCAGTTCCAGAAAAGTAACTACTTCCTTCCAGTTGACCCAGGAAATAAAGGGCCAGTGCCTACCCTACTTTTCCCCTTCTTCTAACAGCTTCATTGTTATTACTAACCTGCTAAAAACAAAATCTAGATTTTTTTTTTTAATTCACATTTCTAAAGTAAAGAGGCAATAAATGGGTAAATCTGTAAAAACAAAAGCTGCTCCAAATATTAGAATTAACAGAAGGCGACTTTAAGATAACTATTATAATTAATAAAAGAGAAAAAAGATGTATAAAATGAATAGAAAGAAGTTCAAAGAATTGCAATAATAAAAACAAACAAAAACAGAATCATATTCTGTAACTGAAAAATACAATTACCTTAAATTAAAAATTGGTTAAGCAGATGACAGGATTAATGAACTCAAACACAGATCAATAGAAACTATTCAGACTGAAGCACGAATTGGAAACAAAAATGGAAGCAACAGAAAAGATCATAAAAGATACATGAGACACAGTCAAAACATCTAGTATGCATGCAACTGAATGGAGAAGATGGAATGAACATAAGCAGTTTTGAAGAGGTAATGGCTGAGAGTATTCCAAAAGTGATTATGCGCAAATCTCACCTCATATACAAAAATTAACTAAAAGGGACCACAGACCTAATATAAGAACTAAAACTGTAAAAGTTTACAACTCTTACAATTCAACAATAAAGACAACACAACTGAAAAATGGGCAAAGGTTTTAAACAGACATTTTTGCAAAGATATACAAATGACCAATAAGCATATAAAAAGATGCTGAATATCATTAGTCATTAGGAAATGTAGGTCAAAAACATAATGAGACATCACTTCATACCCACAAGGATAGCTATAATCAGAGACAGACTGTAACAGGTGTCAATAAGGATTTGGAGAAATTAAGAGTCCTTATATAATGCTGATGGAAATTTAAAATGATAGAACCACTTTGGAAAACAGTTTGGTAGTTCCTCAAATTGTTAAACATAGAATTACCACTTAACCCAGCAATTCCACTTTGTATTGGTTTCCTGTGGCTGCTATATCAAACCACCAGAAACAGAGTGACTTAAAACAACAGAAATTTATTCTCTTATAGTTCTGGAGGCCAGAGTCTGAAACCAGTACCACTAGGTTGAAAGCAAGCTGTCAGCAGGGCTACACTCTGCAGACCTCTGCACATCATCTACCAATCTGTTCCTTGCCTCTTTCAGCTTATGGCGGTTACCACCATTCTGTGACTTGTGGCCTCAGCACTCCAATCTCTGCCAATCTTCACATTACTTTCTCCTGTGTGTGTCTTTTCCTCTGTGGCTGTGTCAAATCTCCCTGCCTGTGTTAAAGCATGAGAAAATTCTATGTGCCATTATTGGCTTTTAAGATGGAAATGGTCATGCTCAAGGACTGGAGAGAAGCTTCTAGAAGCTGAGAATGTTCCCAAGCTGACAGCCACCATGAAAATAGGGATCTCAGTCCTAAAACCACAAGAAACTGAATTCTGCCAACATCCTGAATGTGCTCAGATGTGGATTCCTCCCCAAAGCCTTCAGATCAGAGCCCAGCCCTGCTGATCCTCTGATTTGGGCCCTGTGAGATACGTAAAAGTTGAGCATCTAGACAAGCTGATCCAGACTTCTAACCTCAGGATGGTGGCATAATAAATGGATGTTGTTTTAAGCTGTTAAGCTCATATCAATTTATTACATAATAATGATAAAAGGTACCAACTCACAGATAAAAGCAGCTTAGTGAACCCTCTGCATAAAGAGTATACAGGAAACAAGATAGAAAGTAAATGATAAAAACATGTAAAAACACTAAAAGGATAAGAAAAAATAAATGCAGTTACAAAGTTAGTTCTTGCACTATTCTGGAAGTATACTAACCTACGGTCAACTATAACAGAACAGGAGTGCATATTGAAAAGACAGTAACCACTACAAGAATCTATTTTTAAAAAGCTAACTGAGAAACAAAATAGTATTAAAATATATGCATGATCAATCCAAAAGAAAGGAAGACAAAATATAAATAGAAAAAGAATAACACTTTTAGAAATAAAACAGCAATATGATGGATTTAAACCCAACTATACCAATAAATACATTAAATGGAAATAGAACAAAAACCAGTTCAAACAAAATACAAAAAATCATCAGACTGGATTTAAAAACAACAACAAAACAAGATAATCTATATGTTGTTTACAAGAGGCACACTTTAAATATAAGGCCATAATTAGATTGAAAGTAAAAATTACACACAAGCATGATTTCTTACAATTATGAAATAGGGTGGAATTTTTTTATCAAAATTTTTTTCTTCATCTATGGGATTTTAATTAATTTTAAATATTTAGCCAATGTTGTATGGGATTTTTCCTATATTCTGTTAATTAGCAAATTAAATTTTAAATATTTAGCCAACTTTGTTCTCCTATAATATTACCTGTTTGTGATGTCATTATCCATTTTAGATATCACTGAATGTAATTTGCTAATATTTGTTAACAATTTTTACATCTATGTTCTTATGAGCCCTATAATTTTTCTTTTTTGTAATGTCTTTGTTATGTTTTGGTATCAGTGTTATGCTGGCTTCATAAAATAAGTTACAAAGCATTCCCTCTTTCTCTAGTCTCTGAAAGAGCTAGTGTTGATATTTCCTCCTTAAATGGGTAGAATTCACCAGGGAAGGCAGCAGGCCTAGAGACGGAAATGTTTTTAAAAAATACAGATTCGGGCACCTGGGTGGCTCAGTTGGTTAAGCAACTGCCTTCGGCTCAGGTCATGATCCTGGAGTCCCTGGATCGAGTCCCGCATCGGGCTCCCTGCTCAGCAAGGAGCCTGCTTCTCCCTCTGACCCTCCCCCCTCTCATGTGCTCTCTCTCTCTCATTCTGTCTCAAATAAAAAAAAAAAAAAAACAGATTCAATTTCTTTAAGAGACACAGGTCTATCAGATATTCTGTATTTTATTTTGTCAGCTTATTAAGTTTGGTTTTATGAGGAATTTATTCATCTACATTGTCAATTTTATTAGCATAAAGTTGTTCCTATCATTTTATTATGTATCTATATCACTACATATTTTCTGTATTCTTTTTTAAATTGAAGTATAGTTGACACACTATTACATTTTTAATGTCTAGGATCTATAGATCAACTCCTGCTAATATTGGTAATTTGTGTTGTTGTTTTTGCTCAGTGTTACTAGTAGTTTTATAGAATTCTATTATACATTTGCTTTCTGTTTCATTGATTCCTACTCTATAATCTTCCTCCGTTTCCTTTTGTTTAATTTGCTGTCATTTTTGTAACTTCTTGAAATGGAAGATTAGGGCACTAATTTTCAAACTTTCTTCTTTTCCAAAAAATACACTTACAGCTAGAAATTCTCCCCTCTGCTTTGGATCCCGTAATTTTGATGCCATGGTTTTATTATTATTCATTTAAAAAGATTTTCTAACTCCCAATATGATTTCTTCTTTGACCACTGGAAATAGGTTGTTTAATTTCCAAAAACTGGTGCGTTTTCTTGTTGTCTCTCATTTATTTCTAGTTTAACTTCACTGTGGTCAGACAATGTAAGCTCTATGATTTCAATCCTTTGGCATTTTTATTTTATTATTATTTTTAAAGATTTTATTTATTTATTTGACAGAGAGGTAGAGAGAGAGCACAAGTAGGCAGAGCAGCAGACAGAGGGAGAGGGAGAAGCAGGCTCCCCGCTGAGCAGGGAGCCCTATGCAGGGCTCGATCCCAGGACCCTGGGATCATGACCTGAGCCGAAGGCAGACGCTTAACCGACTGAGCACCCAGGTGCCCCAATCCTTTGACATTTTTAAAGAACTTGCTTTATGGCACAGTGGATAATCAATTTTGATAAACTTCCTGTGTGCTCTTGAAAAAAATATGTACTCTGCAACTGTTGTGTGGGTCTCTCTCTCATACACGCAGACACACACACATACACACACACACAAAAGGCAAATGTTATTAAATATGTTAGTCGAACACATATCTTCAGTGATTTTTTTTCTGCTTCCGTTATCACTCACTAAAAGTAGCATACAAAAAAATTCAATGATTATAGAACTATTTCTCCTTTTAGTCTGAACATTTTGCTTTATATGTTTTGGAGTTACATCAGTTGAGGCATACAAATTTAGGACTGTTGTATTTTCCTAATGAACACTTTCTTATCATTATGAAAGTATTCTCTTTATTTTTAGCAATACTTCTTGACTTAAAGTATACTTTGTCTCTTAGAAATTTCTCTAATCTGACATAAAGTATCTATAAAAGTCTACCACAAATATCATACCTAATGACAAAGCACTGCACAATAA